GATTGTCTGATTCAAAATGGTATTTTCAATCACTTCATATGTGTGTGAAAGCTGGACAATGAATAAGGAAGATCAAAGAAGAATTGACATCTTTGAATTATGGTATTGGCAAAGAATATTGAATATACCATGAACTGCCAGAAGAACGAACAAATCAGTCTTGGAAGAAGAACTGCCAGAATACCCTTTAGAAGGAAGAATGGTGAGATTTCGTTTCACCTAGTTTGTATATGTTACCAGGAGGGACCAGTCCCTGGAAAAGGACACTATGCTTTGTAAAGCAGAGGGTCAGCAAAAAAGAGGAAGATCCTCAATGAGATGGTTGGACACAGTGGCTGCAACAATGGGCTCAAAATAGCAACGACTATGAGGATGGTGCAGGACCAGGCAGGGTTAAGTTCTGTTATACATAGGGTCAATATGAGTTGGAACCAACTTTATGGCACCTAACAACGACAACATTTTCCATTACCACAAAAAAGTTCATGAGTTTGTATCTTTCTATTTAACTTTACAATTGTGTTTTTCTTTTTTAATTTTTAATGCAGGGCAGTATTTCTAAGGAACGCTATTTCTTTTTTCAAATACCTTCTTTCCTTCAGCTAACATGAAACAATTTTTTTTTTTTCCTGGAAATGACTATATTGTTGGTTCCTAGGTAACATTTTGCAGTAAATAAAATGTCTCTTCCTCCTCTATGGAAAAATCTCATATAAGTACACATTAGAGGAAGGTTTTTAGGGACTAGGGGAACCCACCCTTTGGACAACATTTTATTTAGCAGTATGGTGTGCTGGACACATGGAAGGCTGTTTCAGAGCCCCCTTGCTGGCGCAGTAGTTAAGTGCTCAGCTGCTAACCAAAAGGTCGGCAGTTTGAACCAACTAGCCGTTCAGCAGGAGAAAGATGTGGCAGTCTGCTTCCATAAACGATCATATCCTTGAATACACTATGGGGAAGTTCTACTTTGTCCTATAGGGTCGCTCTAAGTCAAAATCAACTCAAAGGCAATGGGTTTTTTGGTTTTGGATGTGGTGCTCCAATTGCACCCTGCCATTTAGTGACTAGAGCCCTGGTGGTGCAGTGGTTAAGTGTTCTGCTGCTAACCAAAAGGTAGGCAGTTCATCTTAGTCAAGTAGATGCAAGAAACCAAACGGGCAGCTTCTGTCCAGAGGTGAGATGAGAAGGCAGGGAGGGTTAGGAGCTGCTTGAATGGTCATGGGGAATCAGGGGTGGAAAGGAGGAGTGTGCTGTTGCAGAATGGGGTGAGCAATTAGGGTCTCTTAACAACGTATGTATAAAAATTTTGTATGGGAGACTAACTTGAAATGTAAACTTCATTTAAATACAACAATTAAAAAAAAGAAATCAAGAGAAAAAAAAAAAAGGTCGCAAGTCAAAACCAACAACCGCCCCCTGGAAAACCCAAGGGGCAAGTTTAACCCGGCCCAAAAGGGCAACAAAAAGCAAAAATCAACCCAAAACAAGGGGGTTTAATTAAAGAACAATTCCTAACAAAAAACAAAACCCCTGGAAAAAAGAAGAAACTCAAAAAAACAAAACTGGTTTGGAAAACAAACGAAAGGTGAAAAAGGGAAAGCCTTCCAACTCCTTTTTCCAAAAAAAAGAAGAAAGTAAAAGGCCAAAACCCAAACTTAAACCTTTGGTGGGGCAAAAAAATTGGGGGCCTTTAAAAGCAAAAACCCCCAAAATCAAAACCCTAATTTTAATTCAAAATAAACCCTCCCTCCCTTAATCAAAGGCCAACAAAAGCCCTCCAACGAACAAACAACGAACCAATGAAGGGAAACAAAAAACAAAAAACAAAACAAGTGCCAATTAAGTGGGTCCGAACCAAGGACAACCCAAGGGGGGCAAAAGAAAAACGGGCCCCAAAAGGGTTTCAAAGGCCCAAGTTTCAAAAGGAAAATGCCAAGGCCTTAATCCAAAGGAACCCCGAAGGGAACCAAAACCCCAACCCCCGGGTTAAGAACCCCTTGCAACAAAAAGGAACCCAAGGAAAAAAAAAACAAAAACAAAAAACCAAAAAACCCCAACCTTAACTGAAAAGCCAAACCAAGGGGGGAGACAGACATGATTCAAATAATCTCATAAGTAAATCTAAAGTTTAATAACACAGCAGAAGGTTCATGGTGCTCCGAGGCCACATAAGAGGGGAATGAACTGAGTTCGGGAAGTCAGGAATGGCTCTTTAAGGAAGTAAAGACATCAGTTGATTAGGACTAGGAATCAACAAGCCTAGAAGGTGTGTGTATTTGGGGAGTGCAAAAGAAGGAAGTGGGGCTGGAGAAGAAGAAAGAAGAGCAGGTACAGAGAACCTGTGGTGGGAACAAGCCTACTGCATGAGAGGAACTAAAAGAAGCCAGGACGGCAGGACCCAGAGGCAAGGCTGGTGTGGGTGACCATGGAGAGCTTGGGAGGGGACACACCAAGCAGGGCCTTTGGGCTCTTTTGAGACAAGGTCTTTATCCTACAAGTAACAGCAAAAAACTTCAGTAAGAAAGGATCCAATTTATGTCATTAAAGAAAGAAAATTCGTTAACTACAGCACATTTTCTGTATGCCTAATATTTTAATATAACAATATGGAAAATTCCACCACAGAGCCTGCTTGCTTCACTTAAATATTTTTGTATTGCATTGGCAAATAAGGAAACATATTTCCCCTATCTCCATTTCTTATGTGTATACATGTCTAAGGTTTCCTGTACATCATTTTCTCTTCTTTTTTGGTGAGCATGGCTACCATGATTTAAAAATCTAAAAGGAGCCCTGGTGGCCCAGTGGTTAAGAGCTATGGTTGCCAACCAGAAGGTTGGCAGTTTGAATCCACCAGCCGCTCCTTAGAAACCCCATGGAGCAGTTCTACTCTGTCCTATAGGGTTGCTACGAGTCAAAATCGACTCGCCAGCATCAGGGGATTACTATAAATCATGCTGGTAGACAATCATACTAAGGATATTAAAAGTTAAAAAGTGATGGCGTCTAAGCTGGCCCAAGGTAGGTTCAGATTAGGTAAATACCCAAGACAAAGATGGAAGCACAATGGTTTGATGACACCATTAGGGTAATCAACCAAATTCTCCTTGCTCTCCCTTGTCCACCTACAGCTTGCGATGTGGTTTTCTCTGCCAGTCTCCTTTGCATGCCCAAGTCCTCCTCCTCCGTGTCTCAACGTACATGTCAATTCTCCCAAACCCACCACATCTAGATTAAGTAACCCTCTGTGTCCCACCACACTATTGTTCCAGAACGAGATACATAATTTGCCAGGCCCCGTGTGAAATGAAAACGTGGGGCCCCTAGGACAAAAAGTATTAAGAATTTCAAGACAGTGAGAGCAAAACATTACACAAGTACAGGCCCTTCTAAGTAGGGGTCCTGTGCATCTGCACAGGTCAGAGGCCCATGGAGCAGCCCCTTCACTTTTCTACTCCATCATGTACTCATGCTGCCATTTCCTGTCCTCGCCTTTGACTATCCCAGCAGTTAACACAGTGCCTGGCCTGTAGTAAAACTTTAAGAAATACGGGTTGACTGATGGAATAAGAGCATGGGGGTGGATAATGACTAAACCACCATAAAATCCTGAGCTATTGTTCTAACATCCGTTGCTAGCTGATTTGTAAATCCTCCTTGAAATTTTATCTTCTGTAACAATGACACTATGTCAGCCTATCCATGGAGCCCAGCAGTGTTAATGCCACATGTTAATAAAAACCTAGTCTTTCCCCACAGTTAGCTATTTATTAACACGAAGCTTTAGAATCTAGATAATCAGAGTGCGGTAGACCAAATGTCTGTGTAGTAAAACCATGCAACACTAAGCTAGACATACTGCTACATAAAATATAACACTGACGTCACTTGAGTGCCTAAAGGGGAGACTGGAATTTTGAGTAGGGTGAGCCCCTGCTATTATTCTGGCAACGATCACCGGGTTCTCAGTCTGAGCTACAGGGCATCCAGGGTCTAAGAAAATGGCATAATTGCACACATTCAGCTCTCGCTAGTCATAATACCTTAGAAGAGTGAAAATGGGGGAGAAAAGGTGAAACCCAACAAAAAGGAGGGACTAAATGATTTCTACTCAACATAATGGCTCTTTGGAAGGTCTAAATGGCAACATCAGCAAAATTACAACGTACAACTTAGAAGAGAGAGGCTGGACAGCAGACAAAGACTTAGTACGCGTCTTTCATGTATTCCACAAAGGACAATAAAGATGAGAAATGGACAGTTTTTCAAAGAAGCACCAGGGCGAAAATTTTGACGTCCTTTAAAAATTGGGGCATCACCAACAAATCATTCACCAAGCTAGATGTCAAAGCATTTTAGGACTCAAAGCTTTTAACGACGGCACACTTACGGCTAGCAGAGGCCGGGGGGTTCATGGATGCCAATCACCTGGTTCAAATCAGAGAAAAAGGGACTCCAGTCTTTAACAGTGCTCTTCGATAGAACTTTCTGCCATAACAGAAATGTTCTAGATTTGTCCTGTCCAATATGGCAGCCATCAGCCACATATATCTATTGAACATTTGAAATGTGGCCAATGTGACTGAAAAAAAAAAAAGGTTTTTAAATTTTATTTTAAGTCCCTGTGTGGTGCAAATGGTTAATGTGCTCGGCTACTAACTGAAAGGTCGGAGGTTCAAGTCTACCCAGAGGTGTCTCTGAAGACAGGCCTGGCAATCTACTTCCAAAAAAGCAGCCACTGAAAACCCTAAGGAGCACAGTTCTACTCTGACACAAATGGGGTCAACATGAATCAGAATCCACTGGATGATAACTATGTGTATTTTTTTTTTTTTTTTTTTGGTTAAACTGCTAATCAGTTTACATTTAAATAACGACCTGTGGCTTAGTCCCTCCCTTATCAGAGAGTGAAGATCCAGGAGAAGCCCAAGACAGAATGTTTGTGGACTAGTCAGACGTTAATAAATAAAAATGGGGGGATATTTTCAAGCAAAACTTACCTGGATGTCATAAAAGCGATCACAATAACCTTGAGCAAGGGTGCTGAAGTTCAAATTCCTCAAACTTTGAAGCTGCATGATATATAAAGAAATATCTGGCTGCTGTTGTGTAGAAATGGGAGAAAAAAAACTAGGTAGTCAAGGTGGAGAGGTGGAACACGTGCAGAAAAAACACAAGTAAATAAGAAAGCTCCTGGAAAGGCTGGGGTATCTCAAAGACTTGGGAAGTCAGGTTTCCCAAAGAGGAGTAATGCTGACAGGAAGGAGGAGAGCTTTAGCATAAGCAGGAAGCTGGTGTAATGACAAGAGCTGCACGAAGCATGAGTCACCGAAAGTCCTGCTGTGGCCTTCAGATGCCAAGTGATAAGATCTGTTGCTTGGAAACGGGAGTCCCTCTTGGCTGCTTAATGCTCTTTCTGATTCCTCTGGCTGGGAAAAAAGAGGTCCTTGAAAAAACTGAGCAGGGTGAAGCAAGGAGAAAGGTGGGGGATATAAAGAGACTAGAAACAAGAAAGAGAAGTAAAAAATGAAATTCCAAGAGGCAATGAAATGCCTATAAGGTGATGTGATGCTCCCGGGGAGAAAGTGATCAAAAATCAGAGAGGAGAGGGCGTGCCCAAGTAGCTTGCAAGGACCTTCGTGAACTTTTGCACAAATTCACAAATTGTATATATACCTCACCAACAATAAATAAATAAAGAACCAAACCCATTGCCATCCAGTGGATTCTGACTCACAGTGACACTATAGGACGGAGTAGAACTGCCCCACAGGGTTTCCAAGGAGCGGCTGGTAGATTTGAACTGCTGACCTTTTTGGCTAGCAGCTGAGCTCTTAACCACTACGCCACAGGAAGTAGAAATTCTGTACATAAAACTAAATACCTGCTATTTAAGTAAATAATAAGCAGAGTTGCGGGGATAGGGGGATGATACAATGAGGCAAAGGGAAAAAAAAAAAAAAAAAGGCTAGGAAAAGTTGACCCAAAATTTGACAGCAGTGAGTTACTCATCCAGAAGACCAAAACTCCAGACAAATGTACTACTAGCACAATGAGCTGAGGGAAAACTGAAAGGCAGTGACAGAGGTATGGGTACCTTAGTGGAATTCCTTATGATCAGTTTCTCCCTAATGTTGTAGTTTTGAATAAAAAAGCTAAAGTGCACGGTATGTTTCTAGATGCAGTCCCTTCACAGAGCAGTAGGTCAAAACAGAACCAGCTCACTGAGGCTGGGAAATAGACAAACTCCGTCAGTAACGCACCATGGAAGAAGGCGTGTATTCAAAGTACCAGCTTTAGCATCGCTGCTTTGCATTTTAGGATGACTGATTTTTTAATTACTTCTTCAGGTATCACCATCATTGCACATTCAGTTGAGATATAGTCAGTTGAGATATAGTTATGTCAAAGTAAGTGACACATTTCTTTCTCTAAGGTTCAGAAAAGAAGTTCTCTCTCCTTCAAGATTTTTTCTTTCCTAAAAAAGGATTCTCAGAAAAATACTGTCATTTCTTTTGCTTTGTCACAATTACATTGTGGGCTAGGTTAGACTGGGGTCAGAGCCAAGAATCTGAGAGGATATATGCAAAGTCCCGGAGCATATAAATCGCTGGTGTGCTTCTCAGATTAACATTACAAGAGAGAAAATGAGTCCTGTGATTCAATGCTAACAGTCTCAGCTATGGAAATGGAGATTTAGGATTAGTTTCATAAATGTGTAGCTCTGTAGCAACAGGATCAAATTTAATAGGAAGTACCCCAATTATCTCTTTTATAGAACCTTGAAAGAAGACACTTCTGTTAAGGGAGAATGTAAGAGAATTGAGCAAGAACCCAAGTCTAAAGCTGCCCAAGGGGCTACTGAAATCCAGGCTCCTGATTCCCTTTGTCTTCGTCAGTGTACACCAAGTTCCATCTTTTCATTTAAGAAGTTATTAACTTTCCAAGTGGGGTAGGAAGGCAAAACTATCACTGTTTTTAACAAAGCACAGGTACATTGAGTCAGATTTACT